GGCTTCCTGCTCTCCAAAGTCCCAACAGTCTATGTCCCTGGTAAGTTTCACGCCGAACACATCTTTGTCTGCACAAGAAATTGACTTGCGTGTAACTCACGGATGCCTTTGCTCTCAGGTCAACACACCTGTCCCACGTTCCTCTCAAGAGCCGACCACTTCGCCGCCCAGCAACAAGCAGACTGCCATCCAACTTGCAACTTTTTCGCCGCCCAGCAACAAGCAGACTGCCATCCAACTTGCAACTTTTTCCTCTGCTTTGTGATGATTGTCTACTTTGCAAAATAAAACTTTGTTCCAAAGAACACTTCAACTCTCAACTTCATGTTTAAACACATCACCAATCTAACTTAAAAAAAAAACATTTAGTTTCTTTTCTAAACATTTCCAAAAAAATTTTTTTTTCAAAATTTTTTTAAATTTTTTTCAAAAATTTTTTTTTCCTGGATTTTTTTTTTTTCCAGGCAGAAAAATCCAGGAAAGTGGGTGTGACCTGGCTGGAATGATGGCTGTTGATTCGCTGATAACTGTGGAAGTGGGTGGAGCATGATGATAACATGCTGTGATTGGTGGGAAGTGGGGAGTGGTTATGCAAATTAGGCGCTCTATGATTGGTGGGTTCTTTTGGGGGCGTGGCGATGCAAATTTGGAGACCATTCCACGAGAGACGCCAAACCGTCTCACCAATGATGTTCTTTTTTTACCTTCGACTCGTGTGGTCGGGCGCCTTTGACTACAGAAAAAAAATCGGAAATTTTCGTGTCGGGATGGCCTGGTGGGAAAAGACATCGCTGGGTATGCAGGCGGACCGAGTTCGAACCTCCATCTGCTCTTCATTTATTATATTGAGCAAAAGTCAAACCCGGCTTTCCCATCACCTCGTCCAGGGGCAAAGTCAGAAGTTTGAACCAGAAGCGAACACTTCACGAGCGATGCCATGCGTCGAACCAAACACGTTCCTTTTTTTAAATCTCGTCATGAGGCTGACAATCTATGACTACATATAAAAATTTCGAAATTTTCGTGCCCAGATGGCCGAATGGTAAAAGACGTCGCGTGGTGGTCCGGCGAACCGAGTTCGAGACCCACCATGTGCTCCGTTTATAAATTAAGCAAGAATCGAACCCGGTTTTCCCGGGTACCAAGTATTATCGTTATCCGTTCGACCACGCTCGGTCAGTGAAAAAAACGCTTCAGATGCTTATATTTATAGATCTACTTCTTCAACGGGACTAATGACGATGGATATAGGTAATAGTAGACGGATACACCGTGGAAAGACAGTCCAGTGGTATGTGACAATGATTCTCCACTGGTGAACTCTGGTTCGAGCCCCGCTGCCGTCCTTTGGCAAAGCTCAACTTGGTCCACTTCAAGGTTTAAAAACAGATTCCAGAAGTGCCTGATGATGCTCGGGTTTTCGATGTGGAGTTGTCACTGTCGTCATTTCGCTCGGATTTTTTTCCACACATCTTCATATTCACTTCCGGTTTCAAATTAAGTTTTTTTTTCTTCCCGGAAGTGACGTCATTGGCGGAAACCTATTTAAGGCGGGCTCTCGAGGCACTCATTCTTTCTCACCTTCGACAGCTTCCGGTCGTCCTCCCGCTGCTCCTGCTCTGCACGCCTGTCCAGAAGCCCACGGAAAACTCCAACAAGGTGACTTTTTTTACTCTTTAATAGCCTCTTGAAACACACCGCTTTGCCTCCCTTTGAATGGAAAGCAGCACTTTCGACGTGCTCGCACCTGGCTAACACAATCAGCAAAAATGTTTGCTCGAGTGTGAGCAATGTTGATCGTAGCTTGGGTCTGGAAAACATACAAAATTGCATTCAAGTCAAACGCTCTTCTCTATTGCCTTTTGATTGATTGACAGCTGAGGCCGACTTGTCGGCGGCGTGCTCGCGAACTGCCCCCTTTGCTGACGTTGTTTTTTACGATAACTTCCAGTGACTGAGTGAGTGACGACAACATAATTAGAGGAGCAACGTGTCGAAATAACGCTCCCCAAACGTCTACATCTCCACACTCACAGATAAATGGCGAAGTCAGTTTAAAATGTTGAAATTACTCACTGAGAACATGGCTTGTGGACACCGGAAAAACTTACGAATTGAACCGGATGTGGTTCCGTTCTTGTGCTTGTACTTCTTCTTCTTTTTTGTGAATTGAATATCTTTAGTTAATATCGCCTCATCGCCCCCTACTGTCCGGGAAACCACAAAGGCGTTGACAAGCAATCTGATTCTAATTCACAGGATGAGCCAAGCGTGCAAAAACACAAAAGGAATTGACTTTCCCAGTTCGAACTCGTCCAGAGGAACTAAAACACAACGACAAAGACCAGCAAGGTGAGACAGCACCTAAAAAGGGTACCCAGAGAGTTGTATTTTTTCAGTGGGACTGTAGGTGTTTGGGCCCCGGCTTCACAAGGCTTTGGCATGCCGACTAAATATCGGGGTGCTGACCAAGGCGCTTGGAGGTTGAATATTTAAGTCAAGAGCTGACGTTACCATGTCTTTCAGTTCGCCGTGCTGTCGAAGAGGGGTCCACCTCTGCCCTCCTCACAAGTGAAGCAAACCCTTTTATACACGTGTGACGACTGAGTTAAATCGGCACATGATTTACTAAAGATTGGGCACAGGTGTAAAAAACCAGAAATGTAAAAGTTTGGCTTCAACCACAGGAGTTTCTCCTCAACCAATTACCGGGAAGCTCGTTGACCTGCTGGTTGAGTAGGTGCACCTGTGGCTCAAATCAAACCGTGGCGGGGCTCTTAATTCTGGCCCTCACACTTATCCAATCAGGTGCGTTGCACCAGGAAGAGAGGAAGGAAACTGTCAGCAGAGTGGCACCGGCTCAACATGTGCGTTTTTGTCCACCAGAGGGTGCTCAAGGACCCGATAGACGTTGTGAAGCCGAGTCGTCCCTCCTCAACGTTTGGACCTGTTGCTTGTCGGCAGGCCCTCAGGAAACGTGGCGTCACGATCCACCTGATGTCGCACACGCAGACTGGTGACTGAAGCTGCACCCAAAGAGCACTGCATCGGTTTAGCACACTCACCTGCTTTTTCTTTGACTCTGCATACAGTGCAGCTTCCAGTGACCCTCCACCTGCTGGGCAAAGAGACAAATGCGACAAGTTTGCAGAAGGTCTTCACTGCTGCCTCCATTTTCAACGTTGCCGTTGAAAGGTACGAAAGAAGTCTGATGGGTCTCTCGTTTGTGGTTTTGGCAGGTTTGACCACCTTGGATGAGTCACTGGACCAGGAGCAGCTTGGCCTGTTGGTGTTGATCACGCTCGACCAACTGTCGCGGCAAAAGGTTCCAGTGAACACTTGGGAAGCAAGTTGAAAAATGAGGAGCAGATTAAAACGGAACTGCGTTTCTGGTTTGTAATTGGTGTCAACCGACTTGTACCTTGTCTTTCAGATGGAGTGCGATATGACAAAACGACACAATCTCTTTGTGTAACTCGTCTTCAATCGAAAACGAAGTTGGTTTTGCAAACTCTCTCTCCTGATCTCTGGATGGGATTCTGAAGGCAGACAGCGGGAGGAAATCTTGGCGTGGTCGATGGGTTATGGGTGAGGTTGGAGTGCGTCACGTCGCCCAAATGCGAAGCTCGTCCCAGAAGTGACCATTCCACGAGAGACGCCAACCGTCTCACCAATTATGTTTTTTTTTTTACCTTCAAAAAACCGGACTCGTGTAGTCGGTCGCCTTTGACTACATAAAAAAATTTGGAAATTTTCGTGCCGGGATGGCCTGGTGGTAAAAGACATCGCTGGGTAGGCAGGTGGAACGAGTTCGAACCTCCGTCTGCTCTCCATTTATATGTTTGCAAGAGTCGAACCCGGGTTTCCCGTCACCTCGTCCAGCGGCAAAGTTAGAAGTTTGAACCAGAAGCGAACACTTCACGAGAGATGCCAAGCGTCTCACCAAACATGTTCCTTTTTCGAACCTTTTAACACATCATAAGGCTGACGCCCTATGACTACATATAAAAATTTCGAAACTTTCGTGTCCGGATGGCCTAATGGTAAAATGCATCGCGTGGTGGTCAGGCGAACCGAGTTCGAGACCAGCCATGTGCTCCATTTATAAATTAAGCAAGAATCGAACCCGGATTTTCCGGGTAGCAAGTATTATCGTTATCCGTTCGAACACGACAGGTCACAGAACAAACACCTGGGGTGGTTAAATTTATAGATCAATTCAACGGGACTATGTGATGACAATAGATATATGTGTTAGTCGTAATGGTCATGCGGAAAGATAGTTCAGTGGTATATGATAGGGATTGTCCTCTGGTGAACGCTGGTTCGAACCCCGGTGCTGTCATTTGGCAAAGCCATCGTCATTTCGTTCACATTTTTTTCCACACATCTTCACATTCACTTCCTGTTTCAAATTAAAAGTTTTTTCTTTACGGAAGTGACGTCACTGGCGGAAACCTATTTAAGGCGGGCTCTCGACGCACTCATTCTTTCTCACCTTCGACAGCCTCCGCTCGTCCTCCTGCTGCTCCAGCTCTGCACGGCCGTCCAGAAGACCACGGAAAACTCCCAACAAGGTGACTTTTTTTACTCTTTCATAGCCTCTTAAAACACACCGCTTTGGCTCCCTTTGAATGCAAAGTATCACTTTAGACGTGCTCGCACCTGGCTAACATGCAAAGCAAAATGTTTGTTCGAACGTAAGCAATCAACAGCTCCTGCGGCCTTACTTTGCAACAAAACCTTTTTTTCCCCCAACCTTCTAGGACAAAAGCGACATTCGTCGAGAGGGTAAGTAGACAAAACTCATTTCTAAATTCAGTTAAACTGAACAAATGTGCATGCATGCGTGTTAATGGTGTCATTTCTGTTCACAGGTACAAATCTTAAGATGGACGAAACACAGGTCACTCGCTGTGCGTTTTTGTGGAATTTAACCGTTTGGCGCAAGCCCGTCTAATTTGTCTTTTTCTATCCGCAGGCTTTGCATCTGCTACAAAATGGCCAAATTGACTGCAACACGGTACAACGGCAACATTTAAAGATGCCGCCGTACGACAGACCAAATCCCTCATGTGTCGATTGTCATTTCTGTCTCCACAGGCTGACGTCGACAGAACGACCCATAAAATGGCTGCCATCCTGTGGAGTTTTGGGCCCCGGCTTCACAAGGCTTTGGCAGGTCTTTGACATGCCGACCAAATATCGGGGTGCCGAGCAAGGCGCTTGGAAGGTTGAATATTTAAAAGTCAAGAGCTGACGTTACCGTGTCTTTCAGGTCGCCGTGCTGTCGAAGAGGCGTCCACCTCTGCTCTCTTCACAAGTGAAGCAAACACTTTTATACACGTGTGACGACTCGGAGTTAAATCGGCACATGATTTACTAAAGCTTGGGCACAGGTGTCAAAACCAGAAATGTAAAAAAAGTTTGGCTTCAGCCACAGGAGCTTCTCCTCAACCAATTCTCGGGAAGCTTGTTGACCTGCTGGTTGAGTAGGTGCACCTGTGGCTCAAATCAAACCGTGGCGGGGCTCTTAATTCTGGCCCTCTCACACTTATCCAATCAGGTGCGTTGCACCAGGAAGAGAGGAAGGAAACTGTCAGCAGAGTGGCACCGGCTCAACATGTGCGTTTTTGTCCACCAGAGGGTGCTCAAGGACCCGATAGACGTTGTGAAGCCGAGTCGTCCCTCCTCAACGTTTGGACCTGTTGCTTGTCGGCAGGCCCTCAGGAAACGTGGCGTCACGATCCACCTGATGTCGCACACGCAGACTGGTGACTGAAGCTCCACCCAAGAAGTGCTGCATATTTTGTCAAGCACACTCACCTGCTTTTTCTTTGACCCTGCATGCAGTGCAGCTTCCAGTCAGAGTGCTGCCCGAGAGCCTCCACCTGCTGGACAAAGAGACAAATGTGACAAGCTTGTAGCAGGTCCTCACTGCTGCCTCCATTTTCAACGTTGCCGTTGAAAGGTACGAAAGAAGTCTGATGGGTCTCTCGTTTGTGGTTTTGGCAGGTTTGACCACCTTGGATGAGTCACTGGACCAG